AAGGGTTTTGTGTGGACTGTGAAATGTCTTCGTGAAGACTTGGTGAAGGGTTTTGTGTGGACTGTGAAATGTCTTTGTGAAGACTTGGTGAAGGGCTCGGTGTGGACTGTGAGATGTCTTTGTGAAGACTTGGTGAAGGGCTTGGTGTGGACTGTGAAATGTCTTTGTGAAGACCTGGTTTGTGTGGACTGTGAAATGTCTTTGTGAAGACTTCAAGGGCTTTGTTTGGACTGTAAAATGTCTTTGTGAAGACTTAGTTCAGGGCTTTGTGTGGACTGTGAAATGCCTTTGTGAAGACTTGGTGAAGGGCTTTGTGTGGACTGTGAAATGCCTTTGTGAAGACTTCAAGGGCTTTGTGTGGACTGTGAAATGTCTTTGTGAAGACTTAGTTAAGGGATTGTGTGGACTGTGAAATGTCTTTGTGAAGACTTGGCTCAGTAATTGATGACAAAAGTGTGCCTTCATTATGTAGATGTAAATTTTATAAACAGTGAGTTTAATAATAAGAAATCTAATTATTTAAAAAAAACTATAAATTTAATTATAGTTTTTAACACAAGCAATGTTAAGTTTGGTTTATCATAAGGCTATTGTTGTAATCCTTTGTATGAACATATTGGATGGGCCGCTCATTACAGATAACACTGTAGTGAGGTGGAATTCATGAGATGTCATAATTTTTCAGTGTTTCTATTAACTATCACAAAAATTAAGTTACCCTTAAATCAATTCCTGCTGTTAGACAAATCCAGAAGCTTTCATTAAAACAAAAACAGGAAAAATCTCTGGAATAACTTCATAAAATTGCAGAAATGGTTAATGACAATATTCTATTCATTATTAATGGTTTTAATGATTTCACCACTCCCTTGTGACGGCCTAAGTGAAGCCTTTGTAAGAGATGGCAGCAGAAAGCTGTTAAAGTGGCTCTCTCAGCACTGAAAGGTTGGTCTGTCAGTAATGAAACTTATTTCAATTTAAACTGAATGAGAAACTGCATTAGACCCATAAAATGTGTAGAAAATGTAAATACACTAACACTGAATTTTTCTGTCTGCTTTAGCTTTGGTTGAGTAAAGTTTTGCAGACAAACATAACACATTGTGCTATGTTTCAGCAGTAGTTGGAAGTTTAACTGCCTGTAAGTGGTTGCAACTGTGCCCTCCATTACAACATGTTCTATGTCGATCATCAATTTAAATTAGACCGACTAAAACTTAACAACATCGGTATGAATTAAACCTTCAATCTTGATGACCTTCAATGTAAAAAATCTGAAGCAGTACACAGAAAATATATACAAGATTACAGACATGCGATGGTTTGTTCCTTCACCATCTAAATGCTGGAATGTGGAGTCTGTGAGACAACACCATTATTTAAGGGCTTACAAAAAAGGGCGACATTAATTAAGACTTGAAACAAACATCGTTAGTGTCGAGAAGTGGAGTACATTGGAGTGAAATCACATGTACTTTTTTAACAGAAACTAATTACCAGACAGTCAGCTCATCGCCCACATCAACACACTAATGGCCATTTCATTAGGTTACATTCCAACTGCTTTCAATTTACAATTTACTTGAACTTCTACAAAACTCGATAAGATTAAACAAAAAAAGATTTTCAACATTTTAACTAGTTAGTACAGAAAGTGTTACATCAATATCTGACGAAAAAGAAACATTTACTCAAGTATATATTTGTCTGTTCAACAACCTGTATCCTTACACAGAGTTATATACACTGACACAACCTGTATCCTTACACAGAGTTACATACACTGACACAACCTGTATCCTTACACAGAGTTATATACACTGACACAACACAACCTGTATCCTTACACAGAGTTACATACACTGACACAACCTGTATCCTTACACAGAGTTATATACACTGACACAACCTGTATCCTTACACAGAGTTATATACACTGACACAACACAACCTGTATCCTTACACAGAGTTATATACACTGACACAACCTGTATCCTTACACAGAGTTATATACACTGACACAACCTGTATCCTTACACAGAGTTATATACACTGACACAACCTGTATCCTTACACAGAGTTATATACACTGACACAACCTGTATCCTTACACAGAGTTATATACACTGACACAACCTGTATCCTTACACAGAGTTATATACACTGACACAACACATCCTTACACAGAGTTACATACACTGACACAACCTGTATCCTTACACAGAGTTATATACACTGACACAACCTGTATCCTTACACAGAGTTATATACACTGACACAACCTGTATCCTTACACAGAGTTATATACACTGACACAACCTGTATCCTTACACAGAGTTATATACACTGACACAACCTGTATCCTTACACAGAGTTATATACACTGACACAACCTGTATCCTTACACAGAGTTATATACACTGACACAACCTGTATCCTTACACAGAGTTATATACACTGTATCCTTACACATACACAACCTGTATCCTTACACAGAGTTATATACACTGACACAACCTGTATCCTTACACAGAGTTATATACACTGACACAACACAACCTGTATCCTTACACAGAGTTATATACACTGACACAACACAACCTGTATCCTTACACAGAGTTATATACACTGACACAACCTGTATCCTTACACAGAGTTATATACACTGACACAACATGTATCCTTACACAGAGTTATATACACTGACACAACATGTATCCTTACACAGAGTTATATACACTGACACAACCTGTATCCTTACACAGAGTTATATACACTGACACAACACAACCTGTATCCTTACACAGAGTTACATACACTATACCTGTATCCTTACACAGAGTTATATACAAAACACTGTATCCTTACACCTGTACACAATCCTTACACAGAGTTATATACATATATCTGTATCCTTACACAGAGTTATATACACTGACACAACCTGTATCCTTACACAAGTTATATACCTGTACACAGTTATATAAACATGTACCTGTACACAAAACATATACCTGTACACAAAACATATACCTGTACATATACCTGTACACAAAACATATACCTGTACACAAAACATATACGTGTACACAAAACATACACCTGTACACAAACATATATCTGTACACAAGTCATATACCTGTACACAAAACATACACCTGTACACAAAACATATACCTGTACACAAACACAAATCTGTACACAAAACATATACCTGTACACAAACACAAATCTGTACACAAAACATATACCTGTACACAAAACATACACCTGTACACTAAACATATACCTGTACACAAAACATATACCTGTACACAAAACATACACCTGTACACAAAACATATACCTGTACACAATCACGTACCTGTACACAAAACATATACCTGTACACAAAACATATACCTGTACACAAACACAAATCTGTACACAAAACATACACCTGTACACAAACATATATCTGTACACAAGTCATATACCTGTACACAAAACATATACCTGTACATATACCTGTACACAAACATATACCTGTACACAAAACATATACCTGTACATATACCTGTACACAAAACATATACCTGTACATATACCTGTACACAAACACATACCTGTACACAAAACATATACCTGTACATATACCTGTACACAAACATGTACCTGTACACAAAACATGTACCTGTACATAAGACATACACCTGTACACAAAACATATATCTGTACACAAGTCATATACCTGTACACAAACATGTACCTGTACACAAAACATATACCTGTACACAAAACATATACCTGTACATATACCTGTACACAAAACATATACCTGTACACAAACACAAATCTGTACACAAAACATATACCTGTACACAAGTCATATACCTGTACACAAACATGTACCTGTACACAAAACATATACCTGTACACAAAACACTTACCTGTACACAAACATATATCTGTACACAAAACACTTACCTGTACACAAAACATGTACCTGTACACAAAACATATACCTGTACACAAAACATATACCTGTACACAAAACATATACCTGTACACAAAACACAAATCTGTACACAAAACATATACCTGTACACAAAACACTTACCTGTACACAAAACATATACCTGTACACAAAACACATACCTGTACACAAAACATATACCTGTACATATACCTGTACACAAACACATACCTGGACACAAAACATATATCTGTACATATACCTGTACACAAACATATACCTGTACACAAAACACATACCTGTACACAAAACATATACCTGTACACAAAACACTTACCTGTACACAAAACATATACCTGTACACAAAACACATACCTGTACACAAAACATATACCTGTACATATACCTGTACACAAACACATACCTGTACACAAAACATATACCTGTACATATACCTGTACACAAACATATACCTGTACACAAAACATGTACCTGTACACAAAACATATACCTGTACACAAAACATATACCTGTACATATACCTGTACACAAACATATACCTGTACACAAAACATATACCTGTACATATACCTGTACACAAAATATATACCTGTACATATACCTGTACACAAACACATACCTGTACACAAAACATATACCTGTACATATACCTGTACACAAACATATAGCTGTACACAAAACATGTACCTGTACACAAAACATATACCTGTACACAAAACATATACCTGTACATATACCTGTACACAAACATATACCTGTACACAAACACATACCTGTTCACAAAACATATACCTGTACACAAAACACATACCTGTACACAAAACATATGTACACAAAACATATACCTGTTCACAAAACGTATACCTGTACACAAAACATATACCTGTTCACAAAACATATACCTGTTCACAAAACATACTTTTACACAAAGCAAATACTTGTATGTAAAACCAAAACACTCAAAAAGAAATTGTAGTCCAAATTGTCTATCCTCTTACCAATAGAAAGCACCCTTTATTTTATGCTAAAGTTCAGACTTCTGCTTACTCTGTAATTCATTAACATTTGAAAATCTCTTCAATCTGGAACTTTGACATTTAGACTTCCACTCAATATGGAATTCTTAAACATATAGATTTCTGCTAAATCTGGAACTCTCAAACATTCAGAAATCTTTACTATCCAGAAATATCTTACATTCAGACCTCCCTATTGTCTCAAACTCTCTAACATTCAGAACTCCCTATTGTCTCAAACTCTCTAACATTCAGACCTCTCTATTGTCTCAAATTCTCTAACATTCAGACCTCTCTCTTGTCTCACACTCTCTAACATTCAGACCTCTCTATTGTATCAAACTCTCTAGCATTAAGAACTCTCTGTTGTATCAAACTCTCTAACTTTCAGAATTCTCTAAATCTGTAACTCTGTAATATTCAGATCTCTCTACTGTCTGGTATCTGGAACTTTCTTATATTCAACATTTTCTTCAAACCATCCCATTAATACAGTCCATGTTGAGACAGTATATAGAGTGCCCAATGTACAATGTTAAGTGAACAGCATTTATTCCAGTACTTTATAATAATGTCTTTAATAGAGACTTGTTTAGCTAATTCCCACATTGCAAATTCTGATCTTTGTTGTAAAGTCCTCATTCTCATAAGTGTGAATAAAATGTGCAACATACCTGGTCCCTTTGCTCCCCCAGACAGCAAACGACCCAAACGGAATATCACTGCCCTTTCAAACTCTTGTACAACCTGTCATTAGACACAAAGTAGAATTTGTCGTCATTTTCATAAAATCTTCAAAATATTTGATAATGATAAAGAATGAAACATTTACATACAATAAGTTAATGATTCTTATAACTATGATGGTAAAGGTAAGCTTTCAAGAAATACTTTACTTAAATGATAACTGTAAATATCTAGATGAAGAAGTCACATTTGTCTGGATAGAACATGGATAGACTCACCTTGAGACAGAAGAAGACAGAGAAGGGAAGAGTGAGAAGGACGACGAGGATTGAGAGTATAGTGAGAATCCAGCCACAGCATCCTAGGCTCCCAGTCTCTTCACCTGTACCTGTAATATATATATAAGTCATTCTCACCTGTACCTGTAATATATGTAAGTCATTCTCACCTGTACCTGTAATATATATAAGTCATTCTCACCTGTACCTGTAATATATGTAAGTCATTCTCACCTGTACCTGTAATATATATAAGTCATTCTCACCTGTACCTGTAATATATGTAAGTCATTCTCACCTGTACCTGTAATATATATAAGTCATTCTCACCTGTACCTGTGATATATATAAGTCATTCTCACCTGTACCTGTAATATATGTAAGTCATTCTCACCTGTACCTGTAATATATATAAGTCTTTCCCACCTGTACCTGTAATATATATAAGTCATTCTCACCTGTACCTGTAATATATGTAAGTCATTCTCATCTGTACCTGTGATATATATAAGTCATTCTCACCTGTACCTGTAATATATGTAAGTCATTCTCACCTGTACCTGTAATATATATAAGTCATTCTCACCTGTACCTGTGATATATATAAGTCATTCTCATCTGTACCTGTAATATATGTAAGTCATTCTCACCTGTACCTGTAAATATATATATAAGTCATTCTCACCTGTACCTGTGATATATATAAGTCATTCTCACCTGTACCTGTAATATATGTAAGTCATTCTCACCTGTACCTGTGATATATGTAAGTCATTCTCATCTGTACCTGGGATATATATAAGTCATTCTCACCTGTACCTGTGATATATATAAGTCATTCTCACCTGTACCTGTGATATATATATAAGTCATTCTCACCTGTACCTGTGATATATATAAGTCATTCTCACCTGTAACTGTGATATATATAAGTCATTCTCACCTGTACCTGTGATACAGACAATACGTTTTCACAGGGACTGACTAACCTCTAACAGAGACTAATTTACATCTCTATAAGGACACACAGTAATTTCTCGGGAAGAATAAATATTTCCTTACAGAAATATTTCTCACCAAAGGGACTGAAGATAATTTTTTGAAGATTATACTATGTGACAATGTGGTTGAAGTGACCTATAACTATATTTACCTCCAATGATGCGAACATGTTGTGGATCAACATGGTGAGTTGCTGTACTGTTTTGATCCTGCCTCTCCATGTCTAGGTTATCACACAATTACACCTCTCTTATACAGCAGTTTTGCCGGTCACCAAATCACCACCACAGATAAATATTCCTGGCTACGTAGGATCCAAATGCTCCTTACAGACACCAATTAAAACTAGGGTGTTTAACTGTTGTTTTGATGCTGCTGTATCCACTGCAGTGCCAGTGTAAATAAATACCAGCTTTCAACAATGAATTCTCTAGCTGTATTGGGAAACTACACCTATGCCATTCCACACTGTCAGACTTCCCGAATCACAAGTCTTTCTATAGCTCTCATATGGAATATTGATGGGTGCACCAACAACTTTGGATGTCACAGAGCAACATTTAGAAGGAAATCCTTTTAAGGAACTGTAGGCTAGAATTCATTTACCAGTTTGGTATCGAGAGATTCAGCCAAGCTCACACAATACCACCATCGTACTATCAACAATTGTTCTGACTATTCCCCAGTAAGTTCTGACTGGAGGTCTCCGCTATTGAGTCCTGTATTCATGCTGAAAACCACCTTTAGAACAGTCTGGTCTCTTTAGGATGTCCTTGATTGGTACTATGTGTGAGTAGTGAGATTTACTGTGAGATATGCTAATGTATTAGGTATGCGATAGATAAGGAGTTGCTCACTGTCACATTAGATATGTCCAGACAACAGAGCACTGCAGAGACCAAGACAGTTACATCAACATGTAACCACACCAAGACAAATGTAGACCCCATACAAGCTAACAAGTCAATCTATCAGAACAATTTTTAGTACAAGTATTTACATGTTAGTGTGCTGAGGGGAATCACAAACACTGATTATAGATCCTCTCTGTCTTGTAAGGCAATTGGAACATATGCCAATACTGGCCTTCTCTACAATTCTTCAAAAGTGAATAGCTAGCTGTCGGGTAAAGATGTTGGGTAATGAATGTCCATGTCTGAATCACAGATAGACAGCTATCAGTACACCTCATCGACCTTCTCAGCAAGCACGGGATATCGGAAGGGGTGAAACAGCATTAGAGAGGAATCACTCCACGGGAAGGGGAAACACAGCATGGGGGAAACACTCCACAGCATGGGGGAACACACCATGGGGGGAACACTCCACAGCAATGGGATATACTTCACAGGGGGAACACTCCACAGCAATGGGATATACTTCACAGGGGGAACACTCCACAGCATGGGGGAACACATCATGGGGGAAACACTCCACAGCAATAGGGGAACACACCATGGGGGAAACACTCCACAGCAATAGGGGAACACACCATGGGGGAAACACACCACAGCAATAGGGGAACGCATCATGGGGGAAACACTCCACAGCAATAGGGGAACACACCATGGGGGAAACACTCCATAGCATGGGGGAACACACCATGGGGGAACACTCCACAGCAATGGGATATACTTCACAGGGGGAACACTCCACAGCATGGGGGAAACACTCCACTGCAATAGGGGAACACACCATGGGGGAAACACTCCACAGCAATGGGGGAACACATCATGGGGGAAACACTCCAGAGCATGGGGGAACACACCATCGGGGGAACACTCCACAGAGTTGGGAAACACATCATGGGGAAACACTCCAGAGCATGGGGGAACACACCATTGGGGGAACACTCCACAGCATGGGGAAACACACCAAGGGGAATTCACAATGGGGAACACTCCACAGCAATGGGATATACTTCACAGGAGAGGAACACACCACAGGAGGTGGGAATCAAACATTAGGAAGGGGAAACACACCACATGAGGGGAACACACCACAGGAGGGGGAACACACCACAGGAGCTGGGAATCAAGCAACAGGAAGGTGGAACACACCACAGTAGGGGGAACACTCCACAGGAGGGGGAACACACCTCAGGAGGAGAAAACACTCAACAGCAATGGAATACACTCCATGGAAGGGGCAAAAACTTCACAGAAGGAGAAAACACTCAACAGCAGGTGGAATCACATCATAGTATAGGGAATCACTTCACAGAAGAGGAACACACCACAGGAAGGGGGAACACTCCACAGGAGGGGGAACACTCCAAAGGAAGTGGAACACACCACAGGAGCAGGAACAGAGAGGATCACTCCACAACATGGGGATCACCCCCAATCTCTCCACAGCTGAGTTATCATCCAATCTCTCCATAGCTGAGGGATCACCCAATCTCTCCACAGCTGGGGATCACCCAATCTCTCCACAGCTGGGGGATCACACAATCTCTCCATAGCTGAGGGATCACCCAATCTCTCCATAGCTGGGGGATCACCTAATCTCTCCACAGCTGAGGGATCACCCAATCTCTCAAAAACTGAGGGATCACCCAATCTCTCCATAGCTGGGGGATCACCCAATCTCTCCATAGCTTAGGGATCACCCAATCTCTCCACAGCTGAGGGATCACCCAATCTCTCAAAAACTGAGGGATCACCCAATCTCTCAAAAACTGAGGGATCACCCAATCCCTCCATAGCTGAGGGATCACCAAATCTCTCCACAGCTAGGGGATACCCCAATCTCTTCACAGCTAAGGGATCACCCAATCTCTTCACAGCTAAGGGATCACCCAATCTCTCAAAAGCTGGGGGATCACCCAATCTCTCAAAAGTTGGGGGATCACACAATCTCTCCATAGCTGAGGGATCACCCAAACTCTCCACAGCTGGGGGATCACCCAATCTCTCAAAAGCTGGGGGATCACACAATCTCTCCATAGCTGAGGGATCACCCAATCTCTCCATAACTGAGGGATCACCTAATCTCTTCATAGCTGGGGGATCACCAATCTCTCAAAAGCTGGGGGATCACCCAATCTCTCAAAAGCTGGGGGATCACCCAAACTCTCCACAGCTGGGGGATCACCCAATGTCTCAAAAGTTGGGGGATCACACAATCTCTCCATAGCTGAGGGATCACCAAATCTCTCCATAGCTGAGGGATCACCTAATCTCTTCATAGCTGGGGGATCACCCCACTGGAGACAGAACATCACTAAAAAGGAAGGGGATACTTCACAAAGAGATATGTTTATTTCCAGTCATGTTTATTAGATTATTTGAATTTGTTTTGCTAGAGTTTAAATTTATATACTGATTCTAATAAATGACTTGGACTATGGGTAGAAACAATGCCTGCTTTCCTTATTCACATGTTTGGTGCTAAATTCTCCACTCCATTCACTTGTTCTTTATCAACTAGTAAACTTCCTTAACTCTGTGATCTGTTAGAGAACCCCGTGCCAGAGTTTTACAACACATTAATTGTTAACAGCATCCACTATGTTACTTACTGCCTCCTGATGTATGTAATTAACCAATTCATCCCAGCACCAGCCCCTCAGCCCTCCTATGGCTCATATTCAACATGTTCTCCAAACTACCTAACAACTTTTAATTGTACGACCTTAGCTGCTTTATTCCATACTAAACAAAAGTGATACAGTTTACTAATTTGCCTTAAATATTGCCGTCTTCCACATCTACAAGATGAATAATGAAAGACATAGCTGTATTACAAGTGCTCATGTGATTGGGATCTTGTCAGCACTGTTGGCATGGTAACAATGCAAACTTTTATCCTTAAAGTCAAATATATGCTGACATTTTTGATGGATAGATTACAAATCAGATGTGCTAATTGTGGTAGTAAACTGTTTTAATATTTTAACACAATGATGTTCAGATTCATCATTTAGAACAGGGTTAAGACAATGTTTTGTTGAATATCCCGTCAGTTTGTCTCACAATTTTCTACAAATTAGTGGCAGTTACATAGCACTTCTATACCATCTCTACGTAATTACCAAAGCTTAAAGGAATTCATTCACATGACTGATACCAGGAAGTCTTATCTATAGACAGAGGAAGAAGACAAGTTTTCTGTCTAAGAGAGTAAACATTTATATTGTTACCTAGAAGAATTTTACAGTGATGCTAGGTCTGTCACAGACGTGTCTGAGAGGACACCGATGAAACATTCTGTATGAGACTCAGAATCCATTACTTGTGAAGCCCTCTGGGTCACATCAACCTTAAGTTCAGAAGATAAATGTCAAAAAGGACAAATCTTCTCGCAGACAGTAATATGTCTGAAAAAGATTCGGGGGGAGGGGAGGGTGGGTTACCGGGATAATGACCTTTACTGATCAGATATGGCTAAGCAAAAAATTGTATAGGAATCAGGTTTTGCATCAATGCAAATTTAAATGTAAAAAAGGACTTTGATATTGGAAACACAGCAGGCGATATCCGAGACGCACAGAAGGAGCCAGACTAATAGTGTGGAGGACATACATCAAAACGACCACGCTGAGGAAGCGACATGAGACAGGAGATCAAATGACTTCAGACAATATCTGAGGTCCCTTTGTTTTTCAATATGATTATCAAATCGATATACATTGTGACATTAACGCTTTTACAACATTAGATAAAAAGTTAACAGGCTGGTGTCAATATTAAGCCTGTGATTAGTTAATCTTATATAGATGTCATAATTAACTTCTCTCTCGACCAATTTTTTTTTTCAAGGGGAAGACATTTAACGAAAGTAAAAAGCATTCTGAGAATGAAACAAGAGTACCACATATTGAAACATTACATGTCCCTCCTACACCATTGAAATGGTAATAATGAGTCAATATTTTCAACAGGAAAAAAGTGCAATATTTTTAAGTGAGATTAGAGATGGATGGAAAGCAATATAACATCATAGATTACTGTTAAAAAATTACAGAGATCAAACTTGTCCAAGTTATCATGGTAATTTAATGCAGATTCTTATGAAGTTTGAAGGGAATCAGATAAAAACTACTGTTGATATTGAGCAGACACTGTTTCTGTAATTAAATAAAGGGCCATAACTCCATAAACATGTCCGAGCTATTATGGTAACGAACCTCCTTACAACGTTTAAAGTTGATCTGTTGAAAAATTACTCAAGTTATCCAGTGGACACCTGTGTGCCTGCCTGCCTGCTTACATGGCAACATTAGATGACCCATTTTTGACAGGCATCTGAAAATTTGTCTTAAATGGGTGAAATCACCAGATAGTAATACAGAAAGTAATATGATGTCAAGAAGACCTCCAGCAAAGGCAAGGTGT